AATAATTCCGGCCTACCATCACGATCAAAGCCCAACTCCGTCGGACTTCTAGGAGGAGGCCCCTGTAGCGGTGGCCATCTTCGTTCATACTTTTACCACGTTTACTGTTTAACTGAACGCTGACTGCCAAGCGCGGTGGCCATTTGACCGCTGTTCTTGCGCACGCTCTCACGCACGCTCCCAAATACACACTAACCACTATCCCTCCGAATCGCCTTCTCGTTCTCACGGGTCGTGGAGAATACTGTTTTGGTTAACATATTCATGCAGTGCCGCACATTAGAGTAACGTGCAGGTGGTCCACGCAGTACAAAGGACCGAAGCACGCGTTTACTAAGGAAACCGCGAAGTAGGGTCTAATCAACCTTACAACAGGACTTGGAAAATTTTTGAAGCGTGTCCAGATATGACCCTCCTATTAAGAATCAGGAAAATGAAATTCGCCTATACCTGTGACGTTTCCATCGGAAAAATAAGGACCGATAATTCTTCACCCCATCATTCTTGCCTAATCCATCAGCTCGGTATTATACTGATATGGATCAGTGGCAAACAGCTTAGGATCGTTTTGCGAACAATAAAATCGGCTGGTTTGCATTCCAGGTACGTGAATTTGGCTTCAACGCTGAACATGGTGCACCGTAATATATTGCGACTGAGATATCAAGTGCAAAAAAGAAGACGGAAATCTTCATCTTCTAAGTATAACCGTTGCAGAATGAGCTCCTAAAATGGCTTCAAGTCATTTCCTCGTAGAATCCGGACCACGACCGACCTCGACTGATGACAACCGCTTGTCAGTGCCCAAATGCTTTGTTGTGGGTGGTCCCGAATGCTTTCTAGTGCTTCGTGTGACACACCTTCGCTTGTGACCGTTTCCGGTTGACCGCATTATATTTTGTGAGCACAGAGAGAAAACATAAGCCGCGAGATACAAGCATTTCGTTTACTCTTGTCAACCGCGGACGTAAAACGTGTCTGTATATATACATGGTACGGTAGGGGGTAAGTGCAACCGTAAAGTAGGCACGGTCGAAAGTTCTTACAGTACGTACGTTGGGGAGAGTGAAGTCTGTCGTGTTAATGCCGAGGCAGACAAACATTTTGGGTCAATGGTTTTTGTGCACAGTGCTGGCTGATGCATCATGGTTAGAATAGCTTCACTGAACGCTAATAGTTTCGGTGTTGGATTGTGCAACAACGCTTCGAAACACTGGGTCAGGCCAACTTTGTGACCTGATGCAATCAAATGTCTTGCAACCGAAGAAGCTGGCGGTTTCACGTCGTTCTGTATTGCCCCAGCAGGTTGCGTCATCAAGTTTGACAGCCATTTGGGTATGTGTTCTGACACTCGTTGAGTCAAGCAACGATCCGTCCTGCCAATATATACGTCACCGCAACTGGAAGTGAACTGACGGACAATGTGTGAGACATTGGGATCAGCAAGACTGTTTGAGTGATTTTGAAAGCATAACCATTTGGTCGTCTGCAGCAAACGCAACTGCGCCGATGTGTATGTGTGCCTTAGGGCTGACTCAAGATTACAATTTATTTGATTGGATAAATAATCTTTGAAAGGTGAAGTGGTAAAAACTTGCCTCTTCTCCACGTTCATTGTTTTCTCGCGCACAAATCTCGGTTTCTGATGTTGTCTGATAAAGTTTTCCGGATAACCGTTGGCTAGCAGCGTTCTTTTTATGAACTCCTCTTAGTTTTGTATTTGATCTTCTGTACAGATCTTCTGGGCTCTGTTGAAGAGAATTCTGACCAATCCACGTTTGTAAGCCACTGGAGCGAAGCTGGAGAATTTTCGGTGGATTCTGCGATATAGAGTCCCGTCCTGACAACTAGGTAATAGAACAACTAGAAGAGGCAAACTGATATCGCGTTCTTCTTCGTGAGATACACTGAGGTTTGGGTGAATAGAGTTAGGAACGTTAACGAAAGGAATAAAACGTTCTTCAGTCGTAAAAATTAAAATATCTGCTAAAATGATGGGTACCATTTTACGCACGTGTCGCCAGGAGATCAGCAGCGTTTATCCTCGTAAGTCGTCCGGGCGCCTAAACAAGCCAACAACGGCAGTGAAATTCAGTGTTGCTTATTACCGACCGCAATGATGTTGTTAGTTGCAGACATGTGGATGGATCGGTTATCGATGGCAGTCATACTAGCTATGGTTTGTCTGTTTATCGATAATGAGCGCAATAAGCAATAATTTGTAAAGATTTTTAATCAACGATATCCTGACAGAAGGCCGATAGCTGTTTCAACTGTGTATAGTCTCATGAAAAACACGATTTACGATCGGTTGGGGACGAAACGAAGTGCGGTCGGACACAAGCGGTGTCCCGTGTAGTTTTACAATACATTTGAGGTCACGAAAAAGCATCCGAGCACTGGCAAGCTGCCGTCAATAGTCATCTTCAGAAAATGCAGACCATCAATTTGGCGGCCTCTGGCATGGAACGCCCATGTCGAATCACAGTATTTGACCAGTGGTATCATCCGCTAGCACAGGGTTTCTCGCTAATGTGTTTGGGGATTTACGACCAAGTCTCCTGAATGTCAGTCTTCGATGAACCTGATTCAGTTGGAACAACCAATAACGGCTCTCCGATTGCTATTTCTCAGCAGTAACCCAATTCGAAAATCTAAGTTCGCTACAAAATGTAGGGAGGGAAACTATTACAAATGATGGTATCTGTTCAGCGATTCATGTGTGAATGAGTCTCACTTGTCAAGATGCGTAGCCATATTTTCGTGCCCACATTCATCGATCGTATGGGTTTCGTGGAAGCCCTTATTGCACAGGTTCGGTGTTGAATACCTTTCTTCTGCGTTATGGACTGATATGATTGATGAAGTCGGCATCGCCAATCCGACTTGTGCATAGTGTTATCTAACTTTCAGACTGTGATGAAACAAATATCCGCACATAGCGAATAATGATCAGCTTTCTCACAATAATTCCATCAAGTAGGGATGAAAATCATGTTAGTTAGTTATTACGATGTGCACAGTAACTGATTACTATGTGAGCTGAGTTCAACTCAGGAAATAATTCCTGTGACTCAGTGGATGAAGAAGCCCTTGATGGGTACGGCCAGGCATCAGTTTATGCAACTTTTGAGAATGTCAGACGTTTGTTTATTCGATTTGACTTTATTTCACAAGACTGAATTGTGATCAATTTATGGCAGTAATCACGTCGCGAGCCAAAAAACATTGTCAAACCAACTTATGTTCACCCCTGTTCATTTCAATATGAACGTGGTACATACTTGTATCCATGCTCTGTGAAATGAAGCCAAATTGAAAATACCATTATGTTCACTTCTTTTCAAAGTTGCTTGGACTGAAATCTAACCGTAAATTAGCCCTGGTTCCCAGTGTGAAATCTTCGCTTAAATGGAGCTCCAGAGGTCATTGTTTTATTTGCTTTCGAAAATACTACGATATCCGGACAATTTCGCATTGTAGCGTTACCACAGACATTACCGTCTCGTAAGGAAATGATGTTCCTCAAACTCGATAATACATTTCCAGATATCGGCAATCCGATTAAAACATGTCGCCTTGGTTATTTTGCCTATCTGAATGACACTTATGAGTCGTGCCTCTGAAATCCTCCTCCTCCGGGCCCCAACCGAAGTCAGTTCTGATGCTAACCTCTTCATGCCCCTATGCTAAATCATCGTCTGATCTCCGCATCGCCTCTTCCCGCCTTGCCAAGCACGGAAAGGCAGACGGTGAGCATGCACACAGAAAACATGTCCGAGTTACCGCAGGCAGTGCAGAGCGATCATTTAGATCAGGGGGTTACTGTCCTCGCCCAACACACGACAGCGCGCAGCGTCAATACTTGCTCAACGATCCCAGAGACATCGGTAGTCGAACGCAGAATGATCCCGAGAACCCGCAACCGTAGATCGGAACGCTACGAACCACAGCGATATACACCCGTCCCTTGAGGGAGCGGATTTCACGGAAGTTGCGCTACCTCTCGCTATTCTAGAAATGATCTACTAAACGACACCATCAGCTGGGAAAAAGCTCCTGATATACTTGAAGTTATCGAATAAGTCTATCTGGGCACCACCAGGGGTGAGTGTAGGCATATGCTCCTGCTGCTTTGCAACTAGAAGGCGGAAAGTGCACACCATATATTAGTCCACAACACTGAAAACAAATCACATCGACGAGGAACTTCTGAGGTAAGTAAATTGTGATCATGGACGTTAAACAACACGTCAGGTGCTCAGCTTACCAAACCGTAGGGTGCTTATAAGAACAATTAGTGGAATCCTCAATAAGGTAGAATCTCTAAGGAAAATACTGCAACTGGTCAGGTTCTGCATAAAGCATTGCTCCCTCTCTCACTTGTTAGACAAAAACTGAATTGTAGTTAAACACTGTACTCTTCTGTTAGGTCGAGTAACTATTCTCTGCTATCTATTTGAAAGTCCGCCAATGTACCTTTTGCACGAGAGAGACATGCCTCACTGTCTATAGTACAATTGTGTTTGTACAAGACGTAAAATGGAGAGTCTGCATAACTCATTAGAGCCAACTTATTCAACTACCTTGTTCAAGCTGCCATATTCCACTTCAGCAATTTGATGTTCTACTTGACAGCACCACGGAGAAACGTGCTACCGTCTGTAGGGACGGTCATATGTGTTCATTGATACCGACGTTATCCCTCAGATATAATTTGCTTGGATCAGTGACAAGCACGTACTAAGGCTGAATTAAATGCTGCGTATGACATTGAATTATAGAGCCAAGCTGCGAAACAGCAGTACTCCAGAAGCTGACGGTTTCTACCAAACAAATTTTATTGTACTGTATTGTATAAAAGCAATTTTAAAAATGAAATTGGGTACATAAAATATGCAAGCTAAACATGGTTGATACAAAAGGAATCTTGAGTAAAAAATTGTGGGACCAGATACGGGTTAACACCCTTGAGAAGACAGTTGTTTTGGCACAGATCGTCAGTTCTCAATGCCCAAACGACCCAGATGGAATAAGTGTCTCATTGTGGGTCGACCGTGAGGGCAATTCTGCAACCATGAGAGATAGATGGGAAAACATCACATAGAACAGGCTTTTCACTGCAATAGATACAAGTGAAATGAGTGTAGAACAAAATAATTATTTTATTTTCCTCTGAGGTGCTGGTATGGACATCTTGATGAACGTTTCTGCGAGGTTACTACCGTTCTACAATGCCGGAAAACTCTTTGGGTAATTCTGTTTAGCTCAAAAGACCTGCCGTTGTTTCCCAACAAGCACAAATCTCGAAATCTTGATTGATTATCCTGATTTGCTGTTTGTTGGACCCTTGAATATATCGAGCACGTTTGGTTTACGACGATAAACATCACAACTTAGTTCAAAAATTTCGTGATCAAATTTAAGAGCTTCACTGGCATCAAAGTCTGTCTAAACTTATAACTTTGGAATAAAGAGTTAATGATAACAGTATGCAAGAATAAACGGGTTAGCTCATGCTGATCAAATTCACCGAACTATATCCGGAATCATCTTCCGTATTCTGAGCAAGCTCAAGTACAAGTGTCGGCTGCAAAACCCCCTATAAACAAGTGAATTTTACGCATGATAGTTAGCCTTTGGTAGAGAACCTTGTTCCCAGAGAACCCAGCAGCACTTTTGGCCGAGAAAAGAACCTACAAACCCCTTGCTTCTGCATAACAGCATCAATAACCCCAGTCTTCATACCAAATGACATCAGATACAGTGTTCCACCCAGATTTCAATATCCTCCCCGCAAGTAACATTTTTCCCGTGAGAGAAAAGCTTCTTTCCATCGCCACCTATCTTCCCGAATGCAAAAAGTCTCAGTAAGAAAAAAGTGCGATCCCGAGCAGTGTTTCTTTACTACTGTACCCCTAACTATATCGGGTCGAGATAATAACATGACATGCTTCTATGGTGGTGGTGCTGGATTTCTTGCCGAGGTCGATGCAATAGTGGCTCACGGGCAACGGCCAGTATAATGTAAAGAGCACACACTATAGCAACAACACATCACTGTGCTATCGGGGAACCGGTAACCGAGCCCCAGGGAGGTGAGTGACATATGCCATCAAAAGATCAATCGTAGCAGTGATCCGGACGCAGTCGCCTGCACCAAAAGCTGCACAGAGGCTCTTGGGATCGGGTTGCAATGATTTGATTGTCATCTTCCATACAGAGTTATGCTGTTATAATGGTCAAACGTGAACAATAAATCATACAAAAAGAAACCTATTTTTCAGAATAATTGATTTGGTTAAAAAATAATGTAGGGCAAATAAAACATCTCGTGAGAAACGTGGGTGTTAAGTCAGAATCTGGTTTTGGCTATTCACTGGCAAAAAGGGAAGGGAAATAAAGATACAATTTTTCATAGAAGTTGACATCGTGGGATTGTGAAGCCAACGGGAACGAATAATACCAGCACAATACAACATTCGATCCAGGAGTGGATTAAATGAGTACTAGGTAAACGTATACTGAAGTATAATCAAGCGGTTATGAGGAAACACTGATGCTGTGAGACCAAAGAAAACATTGTTGATCGTCGCCTACAATACTGACGCAAATCACTGAATTACAACCACAGATATATCTCCTTGGTAAAGATCACATCCCGACTGCTTGATGGGATAGGTTCACACATGAAAACAGTTCATCAGAAACAAACAACTCCTCAATGTGCGCACCAATGGGAGACACAAAACGGGGAAGATAGTGTCTGCGAGTGCAAAAATAGGGATTTCCGGGAGTGACTCACCCAGGGATGCTCCATCGTGCCCATATTGCGAATTATCTACACGACCGAATCACCATGTGAACAAAAGAGGAGCACAAAACGCGTACAGTTCGTGGACCGAGTTAACTACAAACACAACAGCAAGCGATCTGATAAGAAACCATCAATGCGATCCTGCTGCAGGTGCCATTTACAACCATAAACATAATACACTCATTCTTGAGTGTGAGGAATCATCTGGAAGATGCGTTCCGGGTAGGATTTCCATACATTTTTCACTTATATATCTGGACAGCAACTTTAATAAAATATCAAAGGACAAAAATGATGTTCGATTACTCGGGTAACTGCTGCGTATGTGATGAAAAACGGAGCACATTATGAACGACTACGATAAGTTTTGAGTGGTTCGCAAGCGCCACCAAACAAAGCGAACGAAGATAAGTGTTTAAAAACTGGACCGTTTTGTGTGTAAGCACCACAATAAGAATTTGCACTATTTATGATGGCAAAGAGGTAGTCAAAACGAATAGTTACCGCACTGTTAAGTCGAGGAACAAATATCGGACCCTACGACCTGATTCGTACATGTATGTGGCCACGGAGTGTGAATTTTGCACTGAATCAGTAAAAAACAATGCAAATCAACTATCAAACAACTAATGGTGGGAGCAGACCAAAAGGAAGACGTATAAGAATTCCGCGTTACGTAGCAACACCGTTGTTGGATATGGCATTGCATCCAACTTGTTGAAGTCGCATGACCCACTACTCAGTCTTTAAGCCTGTGGCGCCTAAATGACCATCAAGAGGAACCAAAGGTCCATAATTCTAAGGTTTGGATCAAAACACATGGTGTTTGCCTATACCACGTGTTTTGATTTAAAGGATGGATATGTTCACTGTTATCCAAAATCTCAAGGTTTGTAATTTGCCATCGCCGCCACCAGTCAACGTCCTCTTCAAATGCATTTCTTTTTCTGAAGCACTATATCGTTCCTTTATGATCAATGGGGTAAAATGACAGAAAATGTAAAACAGAATACGACTGGCGACCGTGTTTTTGGGGGTTAAGTGAAGGGATATCAGGATATCACGTGTTGAATGCTGGATAAACTGTATAAATGAAATTATTCCAGTATTACACGATCCCCGGAAAATATAGTGTCGATACACATCAAATTCGGAATCCGCCTCGTCTCAAGTTTCTGGTTTACGTTATAAAAAATGAGCTACGTAGCAGAGTCAGATCGTGCGCTTTTTCGGAATACAAGGCAAATGAAAGGCGAAGTCATATTGGGTCACCAACAGTGTTTATTCTTTTATCTGGAAATTGGGATGGCAGTAGTCAGCGGGGCTTTCCCTACCGTTTAACGTTGTACGATGATGGTTCGTAAAACGGAATCTTAGCCTGCTGATTTGTCATAACAATGTGATAACTGCTTTAAGATGAGAGCCGCCCCCATGAACCGAACCACTGCACACCGAGTGAAAACATTCACAAACATTCTTGACAGAAACGAGGTTACGTACCCGACGCATTTTCCCATGATCCAGTGCGGTTCCAATCATCACGGCACTACGACACGCCCTTGATGCCAGGATATCACGAAGACGAGTTGGTCGACAATTACGAGACTAAAAAATCAAGGACAACCCAAAATGGAATTTTCTGAAAGACTGCTAACTTACACAGCTTTCAGCGAGCACGAAAAGCATTTCCTCTACATCTGCAGGAAGAGGGGAAAAGGGAAGGTAAATCGGATGATCAATGAATGACAAAAGACAGACGCGCAGAGAAAAGACGGTGCACACTGACTAGCTTGGAGAAAAACAAAGTTGGGATATGAGGGGCGAAGCTTTATCATACTGTTTGTATAACGAATAAGGCAACTTCCCTTAAAAAGTTGAGTTAAACGCTGTGCCCCTTAAGGAGCGTTTCTGTTTACAGCTGTTTTACCTTACAAGCGCTGTTTTGTTGTCCGTTGGCTGAAAGCTATTGTTTGGCTGATCAATACAAACTGAATTGATCGGGGATCTATAAGACGAGTGTTCCATGTATGCATCATGCTTCCACATTGCGAGGATATTGGTTGACTCACGGTCAACACAGGCTGTCTTGCTTAGGAAGCCAGGCTTATTAAAGTGGGTCGTGATGAGCAGGCAGCGCCTGTCCAATACCGAGGTCAAGGCTTGAGTCAACGGTTGCATGAGTGACAAGGCAGCCAATCGATTAAAATGGGAAATAAATCCTGACAAGCAGTGGTTGGCCGTATTACCAACTAATCAGAAGAGACTGTACCAGATTACAGTTGGAATAATTAGTTTCTGATGCATCGAATGGTTTGATTGACTCAGATTTCTATATAAACAGCGTGTTCTGAACAGATAAACCGAGATTGTTCGGAAGCAGAGAAGTTTTCTCCCTACTTCATAACGAGCAGAACAGAACACTGGCAATGAAAATGGGTGACAAATAATACATCCAGAAACTTTGCCACGCCACCTGCAGGTCCGCTGGACCAGAGAAATCAAAGTTGCTTGACTAACGAATGAAGTTTATGGAAAAAGGTGCCGATTTTGCGATGCTTACGGCTCTATTTTCGGTTCAGTTCAGTTCCGTTAACTAACAACTTCGTACTTCGGTGCTACGGTTTCGATTTCGCAGCGTCGTTGAGCAGAGGGTAAAAAGAATGAAAGCATAAAGTGAGAAGGTGAAGACAAAGTAACAAGAGGGTATCACAAAGAGAAAGAATGATCCCGAATGCAACTACACTACTGACCGAGACACCTAGCCATATTGTATAATCCATCCAACCATCTGGTAGGCGGTTCTTGCCGATGTTAATCCGGAAGTACAACACTTCGTACTTGATGAAGTTCACGGAAGGTGTTAATAGTAAGGAACTCCTTGGAATTCTCGATCTGGAGATCAACATGAGATAGATACAGCTGAGCGAAACACGTTCCACCATTTTGAATCGCAAAAATGTCCTCCGGCACAGGCGATGGATGCCGGTGTATCCCGAATGCAATGCAGGGCGTGTTTGATTTCCTGTTTGGGGTCCACGAGATCACCAACGCAGGCGTTGGGTACGCTGGAGGACACAATTAGGTGTCACGATAAGTGGCGCTCTTGTATTCACAAAGGTTATTTTCAACTTGATATTATCCGTAGTTCTCTTCTTACTCTTTCCAATAATTTATTCATTTCTGAGAGAACAAAACAACCTAAGCCACCGCAAGCAGAGCATTATTGTTTGGAATGATCTGAGTTGATCATTAGGAGGGTAGAAAAATCAGAGCAGCTATGAACTTCGCCATTTGTCCTTCTGATTACGACGACCGAAAAATACCAAAATATCTTGGTATGGTCGGGGGTGGGTGTCTTAGGCTCCAAGATGTCTACTCGCCCTAAACGCCTCTCGAAATGCTCTCAAATGACCGCACGTCTCAAACAGCCTCTGCTGAGAAGGTTTTACGCACTGCCTTCTCGTGGCGGAGATGTTTCCGCAAAAGTGTGAGGGCGAAGGCCAACGCCCGGCGCTCTTCACCAGGTATTGCCCGAATCTTGGGTCACAGAGACCCGACGTTGTGTGCCCTGTGCCCATTGACAAGTAAGCTGTGATTGCGTTACCGGTTTAGGACGATTGTGCGTAGCTTTGGGCCGCACAGGCACGCAAGTTATCACATCACGTCAAGGTACAGTATTGTCGAGATTATCCAACGCTCGTGAAAGGTGTACACATAGAAACGAAGCCGGTTTGAGACCCGGTCGGGGTTGCATCGGCAAGCCTTCAGTAGACCTACTATCTCCGTCTTCCTTGATCAGAAAGGGGCGTTCGACTCCGTCAACCACACAGGTCTGTGGCACTACTCATTAACGGATGTGACAGAGAAATTTACTGATGAGTATACAGAAAAAGCCCTTGGTTAACATCAGAAAGCAAGGTTTAGGCGAACATATGCTTTCGGTGATTTCATTCCCAAACCAATTACAATGACATCTATGTGAAACAAGATAAGGGAAGAAAAGAACACATGTAGCCAGTTAGTCAACTGGTTGTTTACCCAACCAATCAAAAGAAAAATGGGACACGGAAAAATTATGTATCACAGTCAGAAGCCTTGATCAACATCTCATTCGGGAATGATACCATCGACTTTCGGTCACGGGAGTTCAAGTGCTTGGACCAGCTTATTTTGTGAACAAAGCTTTGGTCGTAGTAGCTGGATGCTGATGTCGTATTTGTGACTGACTTTGACTCATTCGGTTGGACCCTGTATAGGACGGTGAATGACGTAACTGGATCAACCTTGTGTCCAGAGTCTAAAAGATGAGCGAGGATAGAGCTTGATACAGCTCCTCTTCCCCCACTTTGAAGCGTCTAGATAAGTGCCTTATCGTTTGACCCACAAAAGTGGTACCACAGGTGCCTTCGAATTGGTAAATGACCACTGAAGAGATCAATAAAGGCAATGTATCCTTGTTCTCGCATTTTACGTTGGTCGATTTCATGTACATTTGAACTTGGAAGCGTGCAAAGTGACTTTACCTGTAGCGAATAAAACTCTGGTAATTCTCACGGCAGTTGCATCCCCCCTTTCAGGAAGTTTGAAGAATAGGATTTTCTTTTCCACCTGTAATATCTACTCTGGTTCTGTTCGGTATTTTGTATTGGGTTCAATGAATTCTTCTGGGTGGCTGCTTTCAGACAGGATCCAGCGACTCGTTCTCAATTCAGCTGCTAGTGTATCATTCGAGGAGATACGTGTAGCTCCGGATAGTCAGCATCTTACTAGGTTTCGCTTCTGGCCGGCTGGAACAAAGTCATTGAAGTCTGTATATTGCCCAGTCCATGTTGTTTTTCTATGAACTCCCCTTTGGATAGAACCGTCCAGATGTCTTGTTGATTCAACGTCCAAAAGTAGATGATTGTCAACTTCTGTCTCAACCGGTAACTTTATGGCTGGGTGCGCAGCGCTAAATAAGTTTATCAATTCACTTAAATTTGGTTGCAATTGGATTGAGAATGCCGTTATCGGAAACATATGTTCGCCTACGCCCTGCTTTCAAATTTAATTATCTTTCTTCAGTGCTTAAAAGCAAACAATTGATACCGTATTCGTGCTTACGGTGATCTCCCACCCGACTTCATCACGGAAAGCAGTGTTCGCAAGTGTTTCCCTCTCTCTTAAACTTTGTAATTCAACTTGTTCTTTAGAAGCTCTATCCTCGTGTCAGAATAGCGGTACCAACGTTTGCTAAGGCAGCAAACTGTCTGACCTAGAGTACAGGGACGATATTGCTCTTCTGAGTAAATATCCAGGTAAGTTGTAAGTTTTTCTGGATTGTGTGAACATAAGTGTACCATAGTTTGGGATGTTTTACTCCTTCGAAGTGTAAAATGCTGCTGCGGGACAGGGTTGGATCTACAGAAAACCTTGTCTTGGCAGAAACCCCAGCTGAAGTAGGTGAGTTTTATTATCTAGGTAGTTAAATCTCACTAAGTGATCTGATATCGGATGAAGTGTCTTTGCAGATAAAGAAGGTACATTAGGATTTTGCTAAATGATCCTAGTCGATTGTAAACTGGTCTTGAGAAACGTTACCCACAGTAACCGAAATGCCGACTGACCACGGTATTTCCCGACAACACTATGTTACTGAACGATAAACATGTATGCATAACATATCATTTGGTGCATCGTTTCTTCGATATAATCCAAAACGGCTTTGGCTCAGATACATTAGGATAGTATATCAACTATATTTATGTTAAGTGTAGGGTGTACTAAACCATTAATCAGTTACTGTAGTCAGAATTGAATCTCAACAGATTGAGATGGCTGGAACATGTATTACGCATGCCCAGCGATAGAGTTCCTCGGCGTACATTTGTTGGAAGGTGGGTCGAAGTGGATATAGCGAAATGGTCTGAAAGTCTTTATCATGTAGGACGTGCTACATTCTGACATTAGTGATTCGCTAATCGAACTCGGAGAATACAACGTTCAACGGATTGACCGTACCTGTCAGCATAGGAATCGCGAAGGCGACCTAGTCACACCCCTGATTTGGTAGACTGTCATGTCCCCTGGGGTATCCTCCATTTTCTTGGTCTACATCACCTACTCAACTGTCACCTGTGGCTCCACGAATCTGAGGAATGCATCAGCGGTCATACCTCGGCAAACCGTGTGACGAGCGAGCCGAACCACGTGGAGGGTAACCAACGCTTAAAAACCACGATTCCCAGCACGCGAAGACGGATACCCCTGCATAGGTGGCCAAGATCTGCTGAATCCAACGGCTACCAATGAAATTCATCCAGGGTTGCATGATCACCATTACCGAATGGCAGATAGCCAGTGCATTACCATACGCACATTCTACGACTACGGAATTGACGAAGCTTGTCTATCCGAAGTACGCTTACCCAACTCCAGTAGTCGAAATATTCAATTCGCTCAAACGGACACACCTTACTGGGTGTACCACAGTGGGCCAGTGGACAGTTATGGGCTTTATGGAGTTGCGATCGCTATGAACAGTCGAGCACACAACGCCCTGATCTCTTGGGAAGCAGTTTCTCCAAGAATAGCCATGACACGGTTTAGCAGCATTTCGTTTAACGTGACCGTGATTGCGGTCTACGCCCAAAAACTACTTGCGGAATCAAACAGTGAATATGTCTTCTGCAGTGAACTTCAGAAATCAGCCAACCGGGTTCCCAGGCGCAATATCCTGCCAACTGCAGGAGACTGGAACACCCACACTGGATCAGCAAACGAGTATACCCAACATGTACTGGGGAAGTCTGGCCTTGTTGAGCGATGCGAAAATGGCCACTGCCTGGTCACGTTTGCAGACCTCAATCGACTGGCCACTTGCAGTATCCAAGAAGGCACCCGTTTACTTAATATTCCGACGACGGTAGGACAGCGCACCAAATGGACTACTTTCGGTGCGCTCTCGTTGGACATTATCGATCGAGAACTGTGAGGCATACCGGGGCGGCGAAACGAAAAACGCCAACGGCACGGACCACACATGTGCAATTTCGTCTCCAGTTTCCCCTCTCAGTGCGCAAAAAAACTCGGCCTCATTGCAGAGTAGATACTTCTAATCCAACAATCCCGGACAACGTCCGAGCCCTGTCGAAATGCGATTTCATTCAGACTAGCTCTGATCAACGAGGACGATAGCCTGAATGAGCGGTGGACGGGGCTGAAAGTATCCATCTCCAGCGCCTCCCTCGAACAGTTAGGCAAAACAAAGTGGAACAAGAAAAATTGGATTTCTGCAAAATCCCCTAATTTCTGCGCTAAGACTAGGAATGCGAGACCCCATAATTTACTTGGTTACCGCAGCCTTCGCTACGTAGGTATACACTCTGCGAAAAACGACCGTAAACGATACCAGTCCGAGTTTACAGGCTGGATGGAAACTGCAGACTTTCGGAAGCTTTTCTATCTTTAAGATTCCTCTTCGGAGATGGCGCAACCTTCTCCTCCCATGCTACGCGACGGTAGTGGCGACCTCATATCGGACTGTGATCAGAAGCTTTAGTCAGCCGCTCAATCGTCCTCTCATCTAGTACATATGTGTAGCGTCACCAGGCGACATATTGCAATATAAAATCGACCTCGAGCCTACCAGCGAATCGGCGCGCATGCGCGCTTACGGCGAAGAGTCATCAGAGTCCCCACTTGACTCCGGCGTCCGCCAAGGATGCTATCCATCCCCAGTCCTATTTAAGTACGTTGTAGACTGGATAGTGCGTCATGCCCTCGGTAGCTTTCGAGGAATACAACTTGGCCACGATTCATGGGTTACAGACCTCGGATTCGCCGACAACACTGTTATTCAAGGAGAGGATACCGGAACTCTGCAGCCGGTTCTCGACCGTATTGAATGTGAAGCCAAGGCTGTTGGTCTGGAGCCAAACACTACAGAAACGAAATTCCACACGACTTCACAAGGCCCAACATTATTCACTTCATTGGCGAGTGTCTGGAACAGGTGCACCACTTGAAGTATCTAGGTTCAACTATTCAGACAAATGGCCAGATCAGGGACGAAATTAAACTTCGTGTAGACCGTGCAAGGAGAGCGGTTCTACAACTTCGCAAATAATTATGGTCTCGCAGCGAAATAAGCCTTCACACGAAGTTGCGCATATACTGCGCTGCCGTCCTCCCAGTTCTTACGTATGCGTGCGAAACCTTGCCGCTAAGCGGAGACAATGCAAAAAGACTGGAAAGCTCCGACCACTGGTGCCTCCGCTACATGGCCAAAATCAAGTGGTATGATATCATCTCAAACTCCGCCGTGTGTGAATACAGAACGACCTTTCTTGTTCCTCTTACGATTTCGCCTGCGGTAGTTCGGTCATGTCCTTCGCCGACCCGAAACGAAAATTGCAGAGGAGCCTACTATCATCATTCTGCTCAGACTGGGAATGTTGTCTTAGTGATCAACTGAAGACATGGGTTAGCACTATTAAGGCAGACATGGACCGCCATGGCCTTCAGCCGGTCTTTGCAGTGGGCGACTGGCGCAACAACTACATTTGGCGGTGTACGGATCTTGCTACGGACCGGAACGCGTAGACAGTTGTTAGACAGTCTGATTAATCTGATTTTCACGAACACTTTTCGGTCTGACTTTTCTACTCACTTTGTGGTAGTATCTGCATTATTTTGCTTACTGAAAAGCTTATCATTAGTAGGTTACGGAATCCGATCTCCCCAGGGTGTGCTCAGCATTTTTGTGCTTCTAAATGTTTATGAATGTAGCCATGGTGCTGTGAGACTTTGGACCTAAAGTTTCTGACAGACGCTTAGACAGCTTGGATTTTTTTCTGAAACCTTGGGACAAGGAAATTATTTCCTAGGATACTGCTCTTGGTATCCTCAATTGTGACACTTTCGGTAGGTGTTTTATACGAGGATAAAACCACCCGAAAATTCAACATGGTTAGCTCGAAACCCCTAATTTTCGGGAACTGCTAGAGGCATAAGTTTTGCTTGGGTTGCATCGTTGTTCACCATCTTCAGACACCGATAGCAAGTGCCGAACATGGACGCTTTGTCACCGAAAATATCGGAGAGGCTGTTAACGCTGGATGATACTTACGTAGCGCTCCGCATTGATAATATGCAGCTTGATATGTGATTCGGTTCCACTTTGTTCAGCAACGCTGTTTCCGTTGTAACGTGTGAAACTGATTGTCACACTTGCTACCCGTTAAGCTTCATGTTATGTGGCACTGTGAAATGAATAACTGAAAATGATCCTAAATTGTAATCCCATTCATCATGATATTTCATTATGAGTCTGAATGAAAAGACCTACCTGCACGACCGAAAACTTTGTTCCCCACCATCGGTGTCGCAGTCAGTTGAACCTGTCTTCCACAAGGAGCTGGAGGAATACGTGAACAGGGAAAAGTAAGAATACATCACAATAGTGCGCTTCGACAGAATGAAAACGAGAAAAAAACAAACAGGCGGTTTCGATTCGAACAACCATTACGTTTGCATTGGGTTTGGGGTTCTGGTTGCTATCTCCCATCGGGAACCTCAATTAGAAATCAAACCAATCAAGATCATGGACAAATTAGTATTAAACAGTATTAAGTTGACGAAAGGATTCACGGAAGTCAAATGCATCTTCAAACGCGATGACACTTCGTTTAAAGTCCGGGCAAAATACAGCCGCCTAGATGAGAGAACTCATTGTACGCCCGGAAAACCGAATGTTTGGTGTTGGACCAACCCCGTCTCGCAACAGCATTTCACACTTCGAAGGTGTAAAACACAAAGCGAACACTGCTACGCAGTTGCTCAGTCTGAGTGGGCACACGTACCGAATCATAAGAACAAACATTAAAGAGAACCCGGCTTGGGGGACTGGAACATGTGTTGTGCACTTTCTTTAACGTTTTCCACGATCTTGGTTATTTGGACTTCCGAGGCTTTCGCCCTGGTCAACTATCTAAATCAAAACGTTGATTGGCCCACACGGTTTCCCGACCGGGCTGATCATCATGCATATATATCCTCGATCTTCTCACTTCCTTTCCCTTCTTATTCTCTGGTAATACCTCTCATCCACCACTTGGTTCATCGGACGACTGTTATACTTACTTTTCCCCTATTTTCTCCCACTCTTTGGAGTCACGATTCAGCCAACTGGGATGGTTTTCGTGATTTTCTGGCCTCCAATCGCTGGGGCGACCGTTGCTCCACTTCTCATATTTATTCTTCCGTTTCAAACTGTGCTGCAAGGCATGCTTCTTTTTGTTCGCCACTTCTTTAAACCCGGCAAACTACGTTTTCCTGAGTGATGAGCCCACGGTTGCAGGAGTCGCATATTACCGAAATCTGCTTTAGCTCTCGCTATGCGCGAAGTGATCTTCTCAACACGCCCTCCAGCTGTTCTCAAGCTCCCTAGGTACTTTGAGTTGGTGACTAACTCAAGCTGATCACCATAAGAGGTGAGTCCAAGCACAGGCTCCAGCCAATCTTGCAAAAGCACTTTGCACTTGGAAGGCGCGAGGTGCATTCTACATTTGGATACCACAATTGCCGAGGGGTCAAAAGCATGTTGCGCTGCCCATGCATTATCACTCTGCGGGGTTGGTCTCATCGGCACATTCCAAGTTGAAAACTCCGCTCTCTGGAGGAGTTCAACTCCGCCGGTTGGAGGACCAGACAGAGCACTCCTAAATGCGCCTCACTCGATGACAACCAACCCACTCTGGCATTCAGATCTTGAGCCAAAATCACGATACTCCTCCGGCTCGCTTTACGTAAGAGGTCGTGGAGCTTTTGACAGAAGGTATATTTGATTGCATCTGGGCTGCAATCGGTGGGTGCATACACTGAGACGACAAACAGATTGCGTCTATCGGAACGGCGACCGCTCATTTTGCACGGAACCCCGAGTCTCGCATAAACGGCTGTCGACTGGGATCCAGTCCAGCAGCACCTTTTTAGCAGTGAGTAGGATTTCTTGATCAGAGGCTGCAGCAGATGCGCGGTCATTTTGGAGCATTTCGAGAGGCGCTCAGCAGGAGTAGTTATCTCGAAGCCTGAAACACCACTCCGGACCATATTAAGGCACTTTGAGGCCCGGTCGGTTGTAGTCCGATGAACAGTTTCCCGGTAGGTGGGCTGGATGGGTCGGGCCTATCATGTGGCCAGAAAGACCTGATCTTACCTTCTTAGACTTCTTGTGGAATGGAATACAAATTATTGTCTATGTACCGCATTCGCGAACGCTGGAGAAACTCAATTACATTTAAACAGCTTCACGAAACAAATCAATACAGAATGCCGAGAACACTTACAGAAACCTTATCAAAAGGGTTCATGAGTGTTTGAACTGTCATGGGGAAACATTCGAGTATTTATTTTGAATTCGTATGAACAGTTTTCTTTGCCAATGAAATGGTGGTGCATATTGTGCTGCTTTTATTCCATTCTTCTTCTTCAAGTCTAGATGTGATCACAGGAAGCTATTTTACGTCGTCACTTAGCAGCTCGTTTGTAAAAGACTACTTTATTGACGAGACCACGAATAGCCGCGGTGTACACAGTTCGACCTAGCTCGTCTTCCTGACCAAATGAAAAACTGAGAGCATCATGTGAGACTCCACTGGGTCTCCCTCAATTTGCAAATGACGCAAAGTCAATATCAGTGCGTTTTTTGTTGAAGGTGATATTTATTTATTCATTTCCATCACTTACTGATCGTCTCCTTAATCATGGAGCACCCTGTACAAATAATCTCATTATTTACCGTGGACCGCGATCAAGTAATTCAATGTCTTACATAACAATGTTAACGTGGATTTGATTGTGTTTACTAGCATCTCTTTCTCACCTGCTGACATTTCCAATAAACTCCTGTATCTTTTTCCTTACTTTCCACGGGAATTTTACATTCTGAAAAGTCACTGTTCATCGAGGTGTGTAGGAGCGAACATGAATTGACTTTCAAAGGCACATGCAGCACTTGTAGTGAATGGATTTCAACTGGCGTTGGCTCCAGCAAAGCCAGTACCAGAAACACTGCCCGATTTTATACATGAATATTTTTCTGAGGTCATAACAGAACAATCGCTGAACTGATCCGTCATGTATTATGAGCACCAGCTAGGAATGGATCATATATCTATTTTCGTCGAAATGAAACAGGTTGATGGGAGCTCATTTGGATAGAAAAACAGTTACCATATCACACTCAAAATCTTGTAGCCCAACCTTTAGTTGGAATTCGGTGATTTCACCCAGAAGTAAACAAATTCCGAAATATTCTCAAAGAGTTTTGGATGCCCAGAGAATCCATACTGCATTATGGACCTCTTTTTGACGAAACATAGATGTTCTGATCTCAGCAGAACCGGACTGAAATGTTGGACGATCGAATGTGACATGCTGTAGGATTTTCTAGTTCAGCTGACGAATTCATCGAGATACGAGAAAAGGGATTGATTACGCATGTTTAGACTTACCACTTTCATCAACATGGAACGCGAAGCCACTTTTGGCAAACACATCCAAATTGCTCAAAAGAAGTTGTTCCTGACCGACAGATAAGTCCAACGCTCGTGGTCTGGAATGGAGCAACATTGAAACGAAGACGAACTTTTATTCACTGCTGTCTCGTAATTCAGTCCGGCGTATGAGGTAAAGCTTTCCGTTTATTGTTACATGCCTACAAATGGGTGCAGTGGAAGAGATACACCCGGCAGCCACAAAGGCTCACTGAGCTTATTGAAATTACCAGCAGCCTGACCCTGAAACTTGGAGTTGCAGAGCGGTAATATCCACGAAACAGATCGTGGGTCTGTGACAGACTTTGTCCAGCCAGCTACAATCTGCCGGAGACGAAATTTACCGCGACTCCGGAAAGAAACAGGAAGAATGAACATAAGTCACCTAATGATTCAGGCGTAAACAAACAAATATTGAATGACCGAGAGCTGGGTTCATCCCCAAATATCTGGAGTACCCACGCGACAAGTAATCACTGTGCTGGATACGCCATATTGTCCGTTTACGTCTCGTCCGTGGTCGGACGAACGTTATTGCCAGCAGTCCTGCGCCGTTGCTTTTGGGTGATGACCATAAATAAGATTTCCAGACGGAGCAGCTATCGATGCAACCAGATGTTCAAGACCCAAATGAACGCTGGCAACAGACCAAGGCTTGTATACCACTCCGAATACCACCCAGTACTCTGGTTCAAGTCAGTCTCACAAAAATGGATATATTCAAAATCAGTTGCTCTGTTGGATGCTCGCAGATCCGTTCCCCCAGATGCCACATTCAATGAAGTGCGCAAACCCCTAAGACGTCAAATAACTAGGAGCCTGAGAAATGACCGCGACTAGTAGTGGACTGAGAAATGTAGGGACATGGAAAAGGCTGCGTCCATTGGCAATGCTCGCAACCTTTTCCGTTTGATTAGATGCACCACTCCACGGAGACCAGGTGTCAGTGGGTCATCCAAGGAATCTGACGGCTCGTTTATTCATTCCCAGGGACGTCGTCTGGATCGCTGGGCGGAGCATTTTAAGGAACATTTCAGTTGGCCCACTTCAACGGTAGACCTTCCGAGTGTACATGCCAACGAAACGATGCAGGTGGATGTCACTACCAAATGGCTGGAGACATTAATTGATACGACTAGGTGTCGCGGCCAAAGGCGTAGTTGCATTCGGATCCTTTCCTTGTCCTCTTGATTTGCGCTTGATACTTTAACTGTTTTGGATCTTTGTCACTGTTTCCATTCTTTTCACCCTTTACTCGACGATGCAACCGAAACCAGAGAACAGAAGTGCGAGGTTAATGATTGAACAAACTGAAACTGATATTTTGTTGTCCAAATACTCAGCGAGACACGCTTGCTCACTAGGGAAAAAGATCAGTTCGATTAGTCAGGTGAAATAATAAGGTGTTCATCAGGTCGGTATCAGTAAAGCAGTTGAACAGAAGAAAAAGAAGTCAACTGTAGCGTACATCGTTGCCCCTGGTAAACACAGGCGAAAGACCATTGTTGCGACTATCCCGATGTCTAGGGCTGTGAATCTAACAGTAACTTAGTCTCACTGGCTAAACGCACGATATGGGCAGAACACGGTTACGGGCAGCAGAACAAATCCTAATCGAAAAACCGTGTTTATCGATGATTCGTGGTTGTAAATAATACAATAAGCATAAATATACAGCAAATAAAAGACTTACAGCCAGGTGAGAAACCAAGAACAATGGGCAGTAAGCTTCCGAAAATCGGGACAGCGCAGAAAATAAAAACGGTCCACTTAGCAGGTAGCTGAACGAAACTGTGGCGCAGTTCGCTTGCGGTACAATCAATAAATCGATTACAAACGTGTGAATTGGGCTGTGGTTGCAATAGTAAAAAGTGTCATTAACAAATAAGTACAAATAAGCTAAGTCTGTGGAGTAAACAAGATTACGTGCCAACATGAATGGGTGAATCCGGCACTAGATCTGTTAATGCCGTTGACGTGTGACGGCCAGTGGTGGAGCGCACTGACAGAAACGCTAAGACTGGGAGCTCGAGTTTCCGCTCGGCAGTGCAAATGAAACACTCAGAAAGATTATATAACAGTAGAAATGTAGACCTTTGAGGAAACAAGGTTATGAATAAATACGTGGACTGTTCATGTAATAAGCACCATGAAACTCGAGTATAAACTGATGTGACACCTTAGAAAAACAGAGAAAATGCATTACGAATGTTCGGGGTTCATGATGCATGTACTCACTACTAATAAGTAACTAAATAGAAAGCAGAACAAACTCTAACTACGAATAGTAATTAACAACCATTGTATGACGAAGCTTAGCCTCGATTATTCCTTTTGCGATAATAAATGACAGAATGTATTGACAGAAAAGTGTACGGTTGACTAGCGGAGAAAAAGTCAGCCGCTAACGCAGATGCGACGCTAACCAAGCTAGTTAGCATAGTTTTACCAAGAGGATCAGCAAACTTTTCATGTAAATTGGCGGGATCGCTGAGGCACATCAATACTTCGCACCCTATATTTCTGTTAATATCAAACCAGCTTCAATACTGAACCGGGACTGAGGCAGTGCTTCCATTTGTGAATCCCGAATAATTTGTTGCTACCTGGTTACGTGGACCGGAAAAGGTTGATGTTGTTGGCTATTGCCAAAGCCTCCTCCAACTGCTTACACTGCAATCCGCCAATGCTGGCTGCTTTTTTTGAAGAACTTTGGGTACATCGCGTTCAAGTTAACTTTGACGAGGATCGATCTGCATGCATCAATAATGAATGCCAGAGTAACATTAGCCAACCTGCGGCACCTCTGGCACCGTCGTGATATCCAACTCATCCTTAACGTACGGGTATACAGCACCACGGTTTGTAGTGATATGATTTCTCGTCACGAGACATGGCCGATGTGCTTTGAGGATGCTGAAAGCCTTTGTTTGTTTGACCACCGGTATCTCCAAAGCGTTGGTCGCATCTGACGGGAACATTGGGTGAGTATTGACAAAGTTCGCCATTGTGTCAGTTACGAATAATCGTCCCCTGAGAGGGAAAATGCCTAACGCATCGATAGATGGCCTATGTTCCGCTAGCACGCAGCACGTTAATGTCCACCGAAAATCGATGGCAAATCTCAGGCCAGCGAACAGGGTCAAGGCTCAATCAGTTCGTGACGAAACGGAAAGAAATCATCCAATCAGTTATCAACAGTCGCTTTCACTAAACCGAACAGAATTAACCAATCAGCGGCCAACAGTGATTCTAACCCAACAAAAGAAAATCAACCAATGAATTATTTTAACCGACCCGGAATAAATCAGCCCATCGGGGACGCAACCGAAAGAGCCAGAGGGAAGAACCGGTTATTGAAGGCATACCGGACCAATGAGCTTCGTGCTACTTTTTTGACTGCAATAACCTACTATCTTGAATAAACTGCTTGTTACTGTACTGACCTGGGCGCAATCCGGTCTTCTGTTCGCGGGCGTTCCTGTCGCGAACCGGTGTAAGACGATACAGCAAAATCGAAGCTAATACCTTGGTGACTATCGGAATTGGGCTAACGCCACGACGATTACTCCACTAATTGCGTATTCCCTTCTTAAAGATGGTTGTAATCAATCACTCACCCCACAATAGCTGTGTGCTGTAAGACTGAATGGGTCAGTTGGCGTTCGAAAGGATAGTTGGGTTAAGCGCAGTTTGTTTGTAATTACGGCAAACGTTCTAACAGACTGCAGATCTGACTTGCAGAAGGATGAGTCTTATGATGAACTCACAACACTGTCAGAACCTTTGCTCATGCGAACCGATTCACACCAACTATCTGGAACTTGTTCCTGCTCCCATATCGAACCGAGGAGTTTCGTCAACTCCAGTTAAAGTGCTGGATCACCGTCTTCAAAAATAGACGGAGGCAACCCATCCAGTCCGGGTCCGGCAGCCTTATGTCGTTCAATATAGCTTATCTCACGAAGAATCTTCGTTTCTGACGGAGGACTGGTATCTACAACAAGAGCTGTATCCATTGCGCTAGTGAGCAAACCTGACGAGGATAAAGGCCAATCAAACTTCACCCCGAAATGCTCCGCCCAGCGAATTAGACGACGCTTCTGAGTTTGAATCAGTGAGCCGTTTGCTTCTTGGATCAATTCGCCAACGCCTGGTTTACGTGGCCCGGTTTGTCTAATCAGACGGAAAAGGTTGCGGCTGTTGCTAATCGTCGCAGCGCTTTTCATCCCCCTACACTTCGCAATCCATCGCTGCTCACGGTCATTTTTCAGGCTCCGGATCAGTTGGTGTTTAAGACAACTCCGTGCCTTCTCGTATCCGGAATCCGGAGCAATCATTCTGCGCACCTCTAACAGTGCAACTGAGAATGTAGATATCCATCGTTTCTGTGTGCGTCTAGTTATTAGACCTTGGGTAGCACCAGCAGCCGTACGTAAAGACTGTTCGATCTCTGTCTATCGCTCTTCTTGATCCTGGGTATTTGACTGCATCGATAACCTAGTGGATAATTTTGTCCGGAAAGAAGATTGTCGGTTATCGTCCCGCAGCAGCTGCCGAGGACGATTCGCTTTGCCGTTGCTTCGGCCACCGACGAGGCGCATACTGAAGCGCGCGCGGACAAGAGCGTGATCAGTGCCTACATAAGTGGACCAAAATAATCAAGTCTTGAATTGATCCGCGCCGGCGGTAACCAAAGGCAATATGATCGATCTGAGTCCAGCTGGAGATTTCTGACCACATCATACTTCGCGGTTGCCCACATCGCAGGAGGGTTTCTCTTTGAGAACCCTAACCAGAGACTTTGACCGGGGCCTTAACCGAGCACGGGAACGTGACCGAAGAACCCGTGAAGAAACTTCTCCTGGTCTGTCACGTGAGACCTGATTACTGCATGCGTTTTGTCTTGTCTTCGCTGGTGCTTAGTTATCGATCCGCTGGTGACTAGAATGAGATAGAATAGCTTGAGGGAAGTTCTCACGGCAGCAGCACGTCGCATCTCTGATGCGCGTCACGACTACCGCGTTTCGCGGTCCATACGAAAACTCGTCTCGTCTCGAGACGTGCTGCGTTATACTCACTTCCAACCGGGATCGACTGCCGTGCATCGAGAAGGCACAGAGATTCAGCAGAAGCCCAGGGTCTCGCGGAGCGACGAGACAGTTCCCAACTTATTAGATCAGTGGAATACGAAGTATCCAGTTATCAGGTGGGGCTACATCTAGCTCCTCAGCTAGTGCGCTTTAGAAGATGGATAGATAAGATGGATCGGAAAGTTTATCGCAATCTAACCGTCGTTGCAGCATGCACTTAAAGTACATGCTGAAGCACGACAGCTTAGTGCAAACTAGGGCGTGCTCGGAGTCAAAGTAGGTACTCCAGCACGAGTAACAGTCTTACATGAAACCCGCCATTTCTGGCTTATAACGATGTCCTCGATCTGGGTCCACTTTCGACCTGAAGAGCACGGACGCCACGTGGCGTACCGGCGATTAGAACGTCTGAAGTTCGTACTGGCGAGGAACAGGCGATGTTCGGAACAAAGGGCCGAGAACCGTTCCTCGTTTACAGAGCGACAGGAATCTAGTCCAAAAGGGACTCCTAAATGCGCCTCACTTGATGACAACCAACCCACTCTGGCATTCAGATCTTGAGCCAAAATCACGATACTCCTCCGGCTCGCTTTACGTAAGAGGTCGTGGAGCTTTTGACAGAAGGTGTATTTGATTGCATCTGGGCTGCAATCGGTGGGTGCATACGCCGAGACGACAAACAGATTGCGTCTATCGGAACGGCGACCGCTCACTTTGCACGGAACCCCGAGTCTCATTGCGTATAAACGGCTGTCGACTGGGATCCAGTCTAGCAGCACCGTTTCAGCTCTTTCACTGAGAACAATGCCAACGCCAGAAAAATCAAGAGCCGCCGCCTCAGTGTCCCCAGTTAGGCGTAAGTGAAAATTCACGGACGCATTAGATGGGGGCGTCAATCATATGATGGAATTGGAGTCCTAAACGCGAGTCTCTTTAATGAAATATACATCGATGGCGAGGGATTCCAGCGTACGAGCTAAACCCGCCTCGTGTCCTTTATGTATAAGAGTTCGCACGTTGAACGTGTCTAGTTTGAATGGGTATCGAGGACGAAGCAGGGCATCAGCTGGTGGTAGCGGGTTCGGTGAGACTCGGAAGCTTGTCGAAGAAGGACAAGAGAAAACATAGCCAGGATTTCCACTCGTGTCACTACAGCGGGAATGGTCGACCGAAGAACCCGCGGGATGTGAAAATGGAAAAGAAAGTGGGAAGGGAGTGAAAATGGGAGAGGAAGTTGTGTGTGGTGTATGAGGGGGGGGGAGGGAGGGGGAAGGGGGTTTGTTTGTGCGCACCCCGTCGCCCAGTTCAGATTGGGTATTTTTATTCGAGGACGCATCCCTAGCCTTTGCGCAGCCAAGTGCGCCCTGCCAGAAAGCAGAATTGGACAAGATGAGCCGGTGTCCAATTGTATGATTCATTCGCCTCGTCAAGGAAGCTTCTGGGAGCCCGTGACTGGTTGCCCAGTTCATTCGGCCTTCGGATGAGACTGGACATCCTGGTACCCAGTACACCCCTCCGCCATGGATGCCGGTGTGCGTTTTATACACCACCCGTGGCTGGTTTGGAATCAGGGTCTAGCCATCTCCCCTAAACTGACTCTCAGTTGGTCAACGCGGTGGACAGCGTCAGACATTCGTTTTCGTCCACTCACTTTAGTGGGAACACCGCCACGAGAAGGCGGTGAGTGGGATTTCCTTATCAGAGGCTGCAGCAGATGCCCGGTTATTTTGGAGCATTTAGGGAGGCTTTCAGAATGAGTAGCCACCTCGAAGCCTGAGACACCTACCCGCGACCATACTGAGGCATTGGAGGAAGACACGGTAGCATACAGCAGCGCGGAAAAAAACCTAAGTTATTGTAAAAATGGGAAATCCGAATCACTCACGAAACAGTTTTGTAAAAAGGTAATATTCCAGTTGAAAACTAAGTTGAAATGCATTCTTCTGAGCACAAAGTCTCCCAAAAACCTTTTCGCCGCGGTAACGAATAGCCATGAAGGAAAAGAAACCGAAAAATAGATACAAGCAGAAACTGAATATTGGCTAACTCAATTATATTGTCATATTGCAAATAATAATTATATCAACTGAATCCACGTACGAGGAAAGACAATCTGGAAACTTACACTACTAATGGCTGACAGACAAATCGATGGTCGGCACACAATTGTTCGAATCGGTACTTCTCATCGCTTGCGTGCTGGTCAATGATGAACAAATCCTGATTGTGAAGTCCGATAATAAATCCCAAATTGAACTGACCAACAACTTCCAATTCATGGAAGGAAGATTTGCTATAACATACAATGGGTAAGTGAACATACTAGACTGATGAACATGAATTTTGAAGATCAAAGCAGAATGAAAGGAAAATCTTACCGTTATTGCTATTCGAGGCTCATAGAAAATCAGAAAATCTGTCGAGAACATACAAGTGGTCAGTGTTATATTTACCTGTCCCCATTTTCGCATTTTTTGAGGTGGTGTTGGAATCATGTTTGATTTCAAGCCGATGTAAAATACTTAAATAAGCAGTGTTATTCGATGAATACGGAGATGTCAAGGTAACAACGCATGATGACTATTTTCCTACAAAGCGTCCACTCAGCTTGCTGAACGTGATTTCGTGAGAGCTGAGTGGTGGTGGTCTACGAACAGTTGTGCACGAAAAAGCCCCAAAGTAATTGTTTTCTGTGGTGCTATCACCACAGCCTAGTGCTCGAGAAAAAATTTCAGTTCCCCAACAATCATCCGGATTCAACGTGGCAATGTTTGATGACGAGAATAATATCGGTCACCTGGAGAGTACCATATTAACTCAACAGTATAAGATAACACACACATGTAGCAATGGATTTCTTACTCACATGGCAATTCACTTGCCCTCAACAGGTTCTAGACCAAATTCACACTTAACTGTCCAAACCGAGAGGTATGTTAAAAATAAGTCATCCATGAAACTCGAATCTGTGAGTTTCACTTCGCTATTCGAAGAAAGAAACTCAACAGTCTAGAGACGAAAGCACAGTGCAAATACTTCTACCAATCGTTAAAAACACCTAAACTGTCCTACATGAATAAGGAAAGTGGAACATGAGTGGAACTGGTGGATGACAATATCGGATAACGCCATCAGTGGGCTCTAAAGAAAATCAATTACAAACAAAGGATCCGAGGCAATGTTACCTGACAAATCCGAATGAGAAAAATGCTTTATTCCTTAACTGCTATCAGCAAATGTGTACAAACACAAACCTGTCGTGGTCCAAAGAAATACAACAGCAAAAGAACATTGAAATTCAAGTTATTATATGATGAAAAGAGAAGCGAGAAACAGGTTTGCACAGTGTATCCTGGACCATTTCGCTGCATCTGTACACGTGCATACAGTAGTCGATGCGATTTTTTTATGCAGTCAGTAGAATAACCAATGACACTGAGAAAAAATTGAAGTGGATGAAACTTTGTAGGAGCGAACAAGGATGGGGTGGAGGTGGGGCCAAATGTTAGGTCACCAGGGAAGGACCAAACTAATAAGCCATTCATGCGGTTTGCACAATTCGGGTTTACAATTGAGAATGACTAGGGCCTCAGCATATCTAGGCAATCTCGTGTGTGGTGTTGCATATAACCTTAAACGAGTTGTTAGGATTAACAAAGTGTTTTTGGTCGGTCAGTAATTGCGCACTTGATGGTCCGATTGCTTTTGGTTTCGTTGATGACGTCATGATTGTGAACAGACTAGTCATCGACTTTTGAAGCCACACAAAGATGTGCTCTTTTATTCGGTGACGCAATTATCTCTTTGTTCTTGTCATGTAGACGGCTGGGCATCCACATGCGAATTGATAGACGTAGTTTGATTTAGGGCAAAGAGGCAGCGGCTTTTTCACCGACAGTGTTTGTATCCGTGTGGTTGTGAGAATAATAACTGGTTCGGCTGGGTAGTAAGTGGGTTTGACGACTGACTTGGGGCGCTTACTAATCAGTCGATTGACGTCGTCACTTTCAAATGGCAATTGTAAGAAAACTGGTAATTTCTGAGCACTTCATGGCTTTTCTACGGAGTGCTTCAGAATAAACTGTATCGGATAACCGCTGGACTGTAGCGGTGTGGTTAGTTTTTCATACTCATCAGCTAATGTGCCCCCGTGCATATTTCGCGTGCCCTGTGAAACAAAATGTTCGAATGAGACCGATCTTATATTTCATAGGTACGAAGCTCGTGAAATGTAGGTATCGCCCTGTCCACGTGTTATTTCCGGTATACTGAACTCCTAATTGAGCCGTCCGGTCGGCTAGAAATGTCTATATCTAGAAAGGAGATATGATTGTTTTCCACGCCACGACGAATCAGTTTGATGCTCGGGCGGACACTGCTAAAGTGATCAAATAACGTATTTGCATCATTGCTGTTGTCACTGATGATGAATATACCATCAACGTATCGGCAGTAAAGATCGTCCTGAAATTTCTCGCTGTAATTTATGTTCCAAGTAACCAACAAAAACCCGCCAGAATAGGTCCGAGGGGACTCCCAATAACAACCCCACCTATTTACTGGAATCCTTCGTTGAGGAAAGAGAAGCGTACGTTTGACGTGCAAAGGAGTAGAAGCCTTGCTAGCTCATTTGCAGGCATTCCAACATTGAATTTGTTTTCTTCAATAGTTTGGTAAATTATCTGAACAGTTTCATGCAGCGAAATATTACTGAACAGAGAATTCATATCCATTGTGAAGAAATCGTTGCTTCTTATGATCCAATCCTTGAGTTTTTGGCACATTTCGAAGGTGTTCTCTAGTGTATGGTTTGCAATTGCATCTCTGACTGGTTTCAACAACTGCGCTAACCATTTGACTAAAGCATGTTGAGGTGGTCAGTTTATAAATGGAGGTAAAACTTGCAAATCATTGACAAAAGCATTCCAAACCCCACAGATTTACGACTTGTCTTGTATGTATAAGAGCAATTATTTTCTTGTGAAAGTGAATTCATCATCAAACGGCTAATTGTAAATTACCGCACTGAAACCAGTAAGACATTCCTCGGTAAAAAATCACTGAAATGGTGATATTATCACAAGCCTTGCCTAACAATAGAAGCGAGATGGCTTTACTTCATGACGATCTATGTCGGCTTATGAAATCTCACGTGATTATTGAGAAAGATTCTTACTGCCATGTTTATTCTAGGTTCTAGCGATGAGTGCGCAAGCAAGTTGGTGAGATTAGAGCCCGTCAGCGATCGTTTTGGTTTATTTATTCATGGCTAATTTGGGGAATAAAATAAACCAATCAAACTGTAAGATACGGGACGATCAGTTAGGTATAAAAGACAGTGAACAAGAAGGGGATTACCGCTAAAAAAACATACATTTCGAAGAAAAGTGAAGCAGCTAACAACCTAACTTTCCCATACAGTAAACTATTATGCGGGTCGATCGGAAAATTCGCGAGACTTGTCGATTGCGAAACAACGTAAACAGGGCAACTTCACTTCGTCAGTAATGTACCCAACTTAAAAAAGGCGGGGTAGTAAGCGCATTTTTGATCAAACTGAACGATTGTGTAAGAATGACACAAAATGCAGAAACGAAAGATATCCAGACCTATTTAGCGTCAGGTATAACGAAAGACGATATTTGGTGCACTGGTAACAAGAATGTGCCTCCCATTGCAAATGACGATGTCATACACTCTTTTGAACGATTCTTTGGATTCGGAATCACTTGAGCTTACAAGATGATTCATCAAAAGGTCATTCATCGCAAAACGAATAGATCGATCCCTACGAATAAAGTATTCATACCATTCAGCGATTCCCCCATGGTGATCGAGCAGTTCCAGAGAAGGAAAAGGACTAGCATCGGTAACATCGAAAAGAAAGATTAATACGCACCCAGAGTGCGGAACATATTTTATCATGGAACTAGCGAACAGCATTACCATCATCGGCAACATCGTGCAGCCTTAAGCAGCAGGGGAAGCCCCACTGACCACTGCCTTTCTCACCATCTTGCACGTCGAATAAGAAAGTATGAACATACAAGATGGACAGGGAGTATACCTAAATGGGTGGGAAAAAGAACGCATGCCTTAGTAGCCAACACACGGTACACACTGTCTAACTGTACAAACGCACATCGATCAGTCATTCTGATTCGATAGAAAGTGACAACAAGATTGCCACTGTTCGCGGTTTGCTGCCATATCCTTCAGTGTCTCCAGCCAACTGGTAGAGGGATCTTTTGAACCCCAACCACGAAGACGTGAGACACCTACTTTTCCTAAGTCTGCTTTACATTTTCTCATCCGACGTTGCTACATCATCTGTTGACCTCCACATGGTTCCTTCCACTCCCTAGGAGGAACGGAGAATAGGACACGGTACGGTAGACATGTGTTTGCCATACGTAACACGTGTCCCAACCAACGAAGTCTACTAAGTTGGATAAGCTATGACAGAACGTTCTGTGCATTAGTAACCAAAACTCGCTTTCTCACCTCCGTATTGCTTACTCGGCTACGCCACCCGATCTTAGCGATCGAACATCATCCTCGAAACCGTGACGTCCAGTCTCGTAACATCATTTACCGTTTCGAAAGTGCAAAGCGCATGCCGAATGAAGCCACAGCTCTAATGACTCCGTTTTGCACACGTTGCGCATGTTTCGCGCAGCCAAGGATCCCGGCGTGTTCTAGATTACATAGCTTTTCACTAGTTACTAGTTCGAAGCCCACATCCTGAAGATTTCACAAGACATTCTCCATTATCTCGTCCATGACGAAAGTCAACAGGAATGAAGAAATGGGACATCCTTGTCAAACACCGCGCTGCAAAATCTTCAGGATGTAGGCGTCGAACTAGGAAATTGTGAAAAGCTGTGACCTAGATTACGCAGACGACGTTGTCTGCTTGTTCGAATCCACGGAACATGTTCAGCATGCACTAGATAATCTCGGAAGAGCTGTAGCTCCATTCGGCATGCGCTTTGCACCTTCAAAGTGTGAAGTGATGTTACAAGACTGGACGTCAACGATTCCGAGCTTGATGCTCGATGGGGAGATGCTGTCTGTTGTCGACCACTTCACCTACCTCGGTAGCTGCGCGACGACGGATGGGAGCACAGTAGTAGAGGTGAGTACGCGGATATCCAAAGCTCGAGCGGCGTACGCTGGACTGAAGCACTTGTGGCGCCGACCTGATATTTCACTGAAGTTGAAAGGTCGTGTATACTGTGCCGCTGGGCGTTCAGTTTTGTTGTATGGTTGTGAGACGTGGAGTCTGCGTGC